CCATGGATTCTTTTAGGCAGATGCTCGTAGCTTGAATTTGTGATGTAACGAGCGCCTAAATAGCTGCAATTGTTGATTATAGCCATATTCATTTTCGAAATTTCCTCACTTCTGTGCACAGACAGAAAGAGAGAGAGACGTGTCTTCGATTACAAACTTGAGATATTTTATTGGAATCATGCTGCTACGTGTACAACATGACAAAGAATATTGATTCTTATTTGGCATCATTCATATTCATCCATTTTAAAAAACCGTTTTCTACCTCACATGCTAGGATTTTGACGGCACATTATTGTAAAAAAAATATTGTACACTTAGCTGACTTTTTGTTCTCAACTTTATTTAGTTAAGAATTATTTTTTTCTTAAAAAAATAATATAATGTGCAGTTGATAAAAATTTATTGGTTCCATCAATATATAATTAAAAATAAGTTTGAGAAAAAAATAAAGTTTAGAAAATGAAATCCAATCATGACTTAGTCAAAAAAACATAATGAGCAAGAATAATGCTGTTTGTACTAAGTTGGTTGACAAAGTTTCTTTACAAAGTGATGTGTATGGTTGAGATGAATTGGGAGTGGACGGCTGGGATTTATAAGGATAAAACTGATGGCGCCAAAACAAAAAGGGAAAGGGAAGGAAACAACATTGCATTATTGAATCCCCAAACCATCTTCTCTCTCCCCGTTTCCCCCTCCTCGTCGAAGACCCATTTTCAGATCTAAAATTGAAATCGATCTTCCTCGTCCAAGACCCCTTTTTGGGCCTAAAATCCAGAAATTGGTCTTCATCTTCTCTAAGCATTCTGTTCCAGAAACAAGAAAATCGGTCCCCATTTCCCCCAAATCGATTCCCCCAAATTACACATATGCTTCATCTTCTCCAAGCATTCAGTTCCAGAATTGGAAACATTCAGTTCAAGAAATTGGTCTTCAACGAGCTCCAAGCAGTGTTCACTGACTTCTACTTCTTCCCATTTCATGCATTTAGAAACCAGTCATCTGATTTAGTAGCCGCAGTTTCAAAAAGAAGCTGCTCAATACTCGGACTTTTGAGAAATAAAAAACTGGAAAAGAGGTTGTAGTTTCAACGCACCCGAATTGCAGAGGCGGTCGTTCTCAAGATCTTCATCAGTAGCTTACAGTCAAGGGAGTTTGAGCCTATGTTAAGAATGTGATTTTAGTTCCTGAACTGGACATGATTGTTGTGAGAACTCAACATATTAATTGTGTGGGGGATGTCATGTGGTATTCTTTTCTAGCTTGCAGTCAAAGGAGTTTGAGCCCGTAAATTTACTGGTTTATGATTCACTGCGAATTGAAGATGTAAGGGAGAGAGAAACTAATAAATGAAGTAGGATTTTACCTGTAATGTTACATGTTGATATTCACTGTGAATTAGATTTATTTGATGGATGTAAAACATAATTATTAAGTTTCGAATTGGTAGAGCTGAAATAAGGATGAAGTAGGATTTTTCCTGTAATTTTACCTGTTGATCTTCACTGCGAATTAGAGTTGTTTAATGGATGTAAAATAGAATTGGGGAAAAGGATTGGTAGAGCTGAAATAGGGAAAAGTTTGAAACCCAATTATGCTGAATTTTGTTATGAAATTAAAAAGAACAAAAATCAATGAAAATTATTGGAGCCTAAATTTTGAATGAAGGTTGGGCATTTTGAACACCTAAATAATGGGTGAGTGTCTATGTTTTGCAGGATCCGGCAAATATGGAAGTTATTATGAATGTCGATTCCGAAAATGAGAATGTGGAGGACAATGTGAATGTCGTGGAAGATGAAACAATAGGAGGAAATGAAATTACCGTGCCTCAAGTTAGTATGCAGTTTAAGGATGAAAAAGAGGTGTATGATTTTTATACAAAATATGCTTATGCCGTAGGTTTTCCAATTAGGAAGAGGAGTTCTGGGAGGGATGATGACGGTGTTTTGAGATATGTCATGTTGACGTGTAGTAGGGAGGGACGAAGAATTGGTAGTACAAGCACTTCTTTGAAGCCACAACCAACAATTCAGACGGGTTGTAAAGCTAGGATCTCTGCATCTTTAGATATCCATGGTTACTGAAAAATTAATACAGTCTACCTTGAGCACAATCATAAGACGAGTCCTACTAAGTCTAAGTTGTATCGTTGCAACCGATATAAAAGTTTTAACTCTGCGGTTGTTGAGGCCGGTGGCTACGAGAAAATGACTCGCATCGAAAAGGATTGTCGGAATTATATCAAACAAGTGAGACGATAAAACTTGGCGAGGGTGATGCGACTGCAATACAATCTTACTTTTCCGAAATGCAATCCCGATGCTCCAGATTTTACTTTAGTATTGACTTGGATGATGATTTGTGCCTGAAAAATGTCTTCTGGGCTGACAATCGGTGCAAGCAAGCATATAAGGAGTTCGGAGATGTTGTGACATTTGATACAACTAAATAAAGCGTCTTCTGATGAAGCAAACAGCAATCGAGCTTTGCTATTTATTATATTAGTCTGTTTTTTATGCTATTAATACTGACTGTACACTAATGTAATAAATGTTTTTGTTTTGCTTCATTGGTAGTTTGGATGATGATTGTTATAATAAATGTTTCATTCAACGAAAATGTACAAATTGACTAGCTGTAGGTTTATACTTCGAAAACATAAATACCCAAGCATTCAACAAACTGCTCATATTATAATTTCACGAATGTCAAGGTACATGAAGTAGAAATTTATACTTCACCCAAAATGTACCAATTGATTGCACTAGACTAGTTGACCAATTTGAGATTTACAAAATGCCGATATTAACAAAAGATGACCAGTTCACCGTAAACAACTAATCAAGCTCGACGAACCGTCACATTCACGGTCACATAAATCAATAGCTTGTCTTCTTTATTTAGCCGAACTTTAGATTGGAACATTCGCGACATATCTTCAACTTCTTCATCCACTTGTGGTTTAGCCCTAGTACTGCTAGATTCGCTACTTACTTCTCCATCTTTGCACCAATCCCAAAAGCCACACTTCAAACTACAACATTTGAAGAATCTTCCTTTGTTAACAGTCTCCTTTTCAACCTCGAAAAACTTCTGAAATCCATGCACACAAAGTGGACATCAACGCTTTATCAGGCAATCACTGAAGAAGTGTCCAACACTCCTGCAACCGTGACAAACTCCGGAGTTCTTTCCCGACATTCTGTGTTCCTGAATCAAACCAATTTACATTTATGTCTACCAAATGTCAAAATAATAAAATCATCATGTAAGATTATGTTAAATTTAAAAACAAGCATTTAAGGTAAATTGAACAACCAAAAAAGTCAGCATTCATGTTCAATGTTAAACTGAAAAATCAGCATCTACGTGAAATGTTCAACTGTAAAATCAGCATTTTAAGTGCAATGTGAATCTACAAATTCAACATCTATGTTAAACCACAACAAAAATCAACATCTCAGCTCAATTTTATACTCCTCAATCAACATCTAAGTTAAATGTGAAACACCAAAATCACATTTTCCTAATTTACAAGTCTAAGAACTGAATACTTATCATTCTTTACTGTCGGAAATCTTCTTGGCTCTTTCTAGTAGCCATCAATTCTTCTTCAAGTAAACGTGAAAAAGAAATGGTAGACAAAATCTCAAATAATATGTATATAAAAAAGAAATGGCTGGATTTCTACGAGACCCATTTGGCTAGAAGTAAAAATGCAATCTTCTGGTTCAAAAATTGATAATTTAATGGCGAATTCATTGAATTCTCACAGACCAACTTGCCCAATAAAGATGATCTTTACCCCAATCAATAATAAAAAATCAGCCTTTTGCCCAATACAGAAAATCTTATCCTTTTAGGCTCATTCAAGAATCAAGCAACGAAAACTGAAATAAAGGAAAAAACACTGAATAAAAAAAATTAAAAGGGTTTTAGCTGAGAAAATTTAGAGCGAATCGAAATCTAGAAAAGGAGAACATCAAGGCCGAAGGAAATTTCTTACGTATGAGTGGTGTTTGATACGAGTTGATCAAAAAAATACGGCGCGGAGCGGGGGAAATCACATTGCTGGGTGTTCACCAGCTGCCGGAGATGTGGGTGATGCCGGAGGTGAGGATAGTGCCGGACTTCATGTTGCTGCCGGAGGAAACGGGTTTTGGTTTCAACTTCAAATTGGGGGAAATGGGTGGAGAGAGAGAATGTTGGGTTTCAAAATTTAAGTTTTTTTTTAATACATGCCACGTCACTTTGTCAACCGGCTTTGTACAGATAGCGCGGTTGAATAAGCAATGACTCTGGAGAATACAGAAATGTTCTCCTGCTCACGATGTGAAGACTGAAGTCTTATTTTGTCCATTTGAAGAGAACATTACTTACGGTTTTCACATAAGTAAAATTCTCTTGTCATATTAGCAAGTGGACAATCTTATTCTGCCAACTGTGGGCAGGAGAACAATTTTGATAAGGAAAATGTATTGTTAAAAAGTGGAAAAAGTTTTGGATTTATGTACAAAATATTTTATTGTGTGAATGTGTAGTTGAAAATAAATTTGAAGAAAAAAAATAATTTTTTGATTTAATGGATGTCAAACAGAGGCTTATATATATACTAGTCCGACGTGAAGTTGGGTATTATTCTGCCAACTGTGGGCAGGAGAACAATTTTGATAAGGAAAATGTATTGTTAAAAAGTGGAAAAAGTTTTGGATTTATGTACAAAATATTTTATTGTGTGAATGTGTGATTGAAAATGATCATGTAGCAAAACGAGTTTTAAAACAATGTGCACCAAACATGAGCCAAGAATGATGAAAAAACCACCTCTGTTTCAAGTTTGCTGAACATGAAAAATGTGGTTATGAGTGAAACAAGGTGCTCTTTCTTAAATGTAAAAAAAATATGTTTAATGCATGGACATGTTGTCTGCATTATGTTTCTGCTCGAGAAAAAAAAAAAAAAACTTCCATTTATGTTTCGCGCACTGAAAATGGGATGTAGGTCAAAATGCAAGTGTTCTTAATCCCTTTCCTTTCCTAACCCACACACATTTATCCCCTTATTTTGTGTATGATCTTTAATTTTTTGAATTTTGAAGTAAGATAAACTCTTAGTGGCTGAGCAGGATATGCCACCCGAAATGTTGCCCTGTGGTGGAAGAACTTGAAGGGAAGGTCTTGATTCTTGGACAGAAGGAAAAAGAAAATGCTGCGCAAAGTTAGCAAATAAGACAATTTGAGGCATGGTAGTCTGAATATGAAGCTAAGATGAAATCTTTGGAGGATGTATGGCAAAAGCATTCAGCATCTTTGCAAGTGAGTTTATTATGCTCTATTTACGAAGCTTTTGTTATTACTAGAAAATCAGTACTGTTGGTAGAAAACCAACTAGAAGTTTCTCATATTGCACAATTTAGGGTTGAATGCTATTGCACTTGCAGAATAGAACCGATCGCTTGATTTTCAGTTCTTTAAAAAAAAAAAAAACCGTTAATGGGGAAGTTATGTTTGGTGTCAAAATTGTATGAGGTAGGATTGATGACTCCTCATCATCTAGCTGTTAAGAGATCGAGGATATGTCCGTGGCAACTCAGACTCCTGGCTCTATCAAATTTGCTTACAGTGGTATGGAATTTGGAGCACGTCAGTTGATTAGTTGCGGTTTAGATGCAATCAGTTCCCTTAAGGAGGAGTTTTAGATCAGAGAAATTGTTGATATGCTTTGGTGCTTCTCCTTCCACAGATCCTGAGAACGAACTGCAGACTGCAGACTCTGAAATCCAGATTTCAGTCATGGAAAAACGATTACAGGGTTCTGTTAAGGGAAACAAAGGCAAAAGTACACAGGCTGCATCAGAATGAAGCCGAGAAAAATCGACTAATATGGTGGGGGAAAGAAGAGCGAAACGTTTCAGCTTTTTGATTATTTTTAAGATGACTATGGGTTTGCAGCAGAATCAATTTGGTAGAGTAGGAGACTCGTTGTGTGTGTATATGCATCAATTTTGTCTTCAAATCAGCCCACTCATAACTCGTAAGGGAAGGGATTCTGTTGATCTACTGCCCAAGTTCAGCATGATTTTAAACGTATATAGTTTGTGTCAATGATGTAATTCATAACTCAATTGAATATTGTGTTGTTAGGGTGGAAGATATAAAAGAAATGTTCATGTCACTATTTGTTGAATTGAACTAGTACATGAGTTCTTTCTTCTCCAATCATTTGAGCAAACCAATGTAATTTTACACAAAGGAAGCTGGGCTTATGATCTTGGCTCGAACTTGGTGGCATAGACCCAAGCATTGTTAGCAACAGGTTTATCAAGGTGGTCCAACAGATTCTCCAGAGGGCCTTTTCCAGTGACAATAGCCTCAACAAAGAACCCGAACATGGAGAACATGGCTAGCCTTCCGTTCTTGATTTCCTTCACTTTGAGCTCAGCAAAAGCGACGGGGTCATCAGCAAGGCCAAGAGGATCAAAGTATTGGCCACCAGGTTGTTGCCCTCTCCAACACCTTCTAAGCCGTTAATTCTGTACCTTCAACAAGTCCCGTAAGAACTACTTGGAGTCCAAGAACTGCCAAAATGCTTTGTGCATGTACAAGATTGGGATTGCCCAAGTAGTCTAGTCCACCTTCAGAGAAGATTTGAGCTCTAGCCTTGAATCAAACTGGCTCTTTAAAGTCTACTTCAACCCATTTCTCAAGAACTTCTGGGGTGATGCACCCCAGAGCTCCAAGCATTGCCCATCGCCCGTGAATAAACTGGTAATTTAATTATTTTTTCATATCACATTTTCATCAGAACTCACTTGGAAGTTGGAATATACCGCAAGGGTCCTGTTTCTTGCAAAGGCCTCAGGATCAGCAGATAAACCAACAGTGTCCCAACCATAATCACTCGGGAATTCTCCGGTCAAGTACGATGGAGTTTGAGCTGAGAATGGCCCCAAGTACTTGACGCGGTCCGGTCCATACCATAAGTCATTACCCAGTCCAAATCAAAACCATTGGAACAAATCATAAGTGACCTGACGATACAAAAAGTGGGGTGTGGACCGTGTGGTGGTGATTGTGGGTTACCATGTTGTATTTGCCATTTCCCATAGAGACAAAATCTTTAAGAGGATCAGCATTTTTGGTTTGGCCAAAGAATGGAGTTGCGCTAACAACTGCGGTGGAACTAGCAGTGGCAACCATTGATGCCATTTCTAGTTCAAGTTTACAGCTGATCCTTCTCTGCAATATGCTGTTATGGAACTTTGGAGAAGTGGTATGTGTTTTAGAGGTGAAGGGTGAGTTTACGTTAAGAAAGAGAGAATCGTGTATTGGTGGTTAAGATTTCATGAATGGAAATTCTAGTGGCAGATAATTTTCGGGCTACAAAAATCAACCAATCAGAAGGCTTCAAAAGATTATAAAAATCTCTCCTATCCACAATTTATCTCTTCCGCAAGAAGAAAAGATAATTTTTATTACAGAGAAGAAAATGAAAACTGAAAAGATAAAAAATGCGGTGAGCGTGGATCGAACACGCGACCTTCAGATCTTCAGTCTGACGCTCTCCCAACTGAGCTATCCCCGCTTGCTTTCTTTAGGTCTTTTATGTTTAATATATATATATATATATATATTTCTTTTTCCAGTATTCTGTACAATTTCTATTCCATATAGGTGACAATATTACACCATTTGTAATGTTTGTATTCATAGTTAATTTCCACTGAAAAGATATGTTGGATTAGAAAAAACATGATTAGAAACAGATTACTTTTATAGTCCAGTTATAAGAAGTGATTTTTTTTGGAACTCGACATGTTAGACACTTTTAAGTCATAATAATGCGACAAAAAAATTAAGGTTGTGTAGATGAGAATGTGATGACTTAACTTGGTTCAACTTGCATGAAGGGTATCTAGCCCAGAGCTATATACTTCAGGTCTTAGCTGAGAAGAACATTAGGTGACGTTTTGAGTTTAGTATATAAATGTAGCTTTGGTTTTGCTTAAGAGAGAGAGTCCAATAGTTTATAAAATTCGACTGTCTACATTCATGATTGTGTATTTCAGAACTTCAAGAGCAAAATTGAACTGAGTAAGCCATGGTGATATTAGATGTTCTAACCCAAATTTCATTGAATTTTCTCAAGTCAAGCTAGTTAGTTAAATTTATTGTGTATTTAGTATTTATTTAAAATTCACCACAAATCAATTATTCAGATAAAGTTAGGATTAATCGATTTGGTATTTGATATCAACAATTCTCATTAGAAAGATTCATTTCATTTCATTACTTGTTTGACTCGTATACTTGCAGAATCACGTCATAACAGAGTATTTTTCTTATCTTTATTGAGAACCAACTTGGAACAGGGCCCTGGTCAAGTTGCCTAAAATATGTGAAAATGTATCAAGGCTTCAAGAAGTTGTAATCGTACTGGGGAAGGGCATCTGGATGTCAGAAAAAGAATTTAGATTGAGCACGAAACCACGAACTAGAGCTACCCCACAACTACGTGAAGAGCAGGTAATCAATTCAAGAACTGGCTAGGGGATAAAATGTTCACTGTAGACTTCTAGCTCCACTCTCATTCACGCAACCTCTTGCAGCAGCCACTCGGCTAAATCAACTGTCATGTCTATCCCTTACATATCAGACCTAAGCCATAGGGTAGCCAATGTTTAGAAATATGAGAAGTGCTTAATGTACATCATGGTGTACACCAAGTTATACAGTCCACTCACAACATAGATGGGGGTCACGATAAAAAAATAATTGAGGCCCCCACACTTGTGAGGGGGTTGTGTACAAGAGTGTACACCATTGGTGTATACACTCAGCTTTTTCCTAGAAATATTGCACCTTAGCCTAATATAGAATAACGCCTATAACAAGACGCTTCGATCGTTAAGGTGAGGTCAAGTGTCTCTTTATCCAACGTTTATCATTTCTCCTCTTCTATTATAAAATTACACGCTTACCCTCTTTGATTTGACAATTTTTCCATGGAATTTGGAAATGAAATTCCATCTTTCACCAAAAGTCATGTTTAATGGGGAAAATTTTCTTAGTAATTCATTTTCCATATTTTGCTTCACACGGCTCCAATTCCATGGTTTTGAGGAAAATCAATTCCCACCAATTTGGTGGGATTTAGTTTCCCAGATTACTTTTTTTTTTTTTTGCAATGGAAACAAATTTTATCCCCAATTGTAACAAATTATATCTCTTTAATGGACAATTTTCATGTAAAATAAAGCCAAACGAATACCAAAAGATCCAAAATTTCAATATTTTTCACGTGAAAAATTATACTAATAAAACATAATTAATTTACAATTCACATGAAAATAATTTTAGGCAATTCAATTCCTTGTAATTCATTTTCTTTCCACTCAAATTCCACTCTTGTAATCAAGCGGACATTTAGTGTCATTTGAATGTAATATAATTTTACACACTTAACATAGCGTTGTTGTCTCTTATTTTACTCTTTATAAATCGGTTCTACTCAAATCCCCCGCTCTTCGAACACTTTTGTAGCTCACATCTAATCACGTTTCCACACCTAAATACATTTTTATAAGTGACGAACTTGATCGTTGGAGTGAAAGTGGCTGTCTCCCTTACATCCGAAGGGAAAATACTTGTTTGTACATCACTATTTACATAATCTTTTACATAATACTTGTTGTAATTTATTGGTCTTTGGAACTTTATAAGGAGTAAGATAATTAACTTCAATAAAATTGAGTGTGCCAAGCTAGTAGAACCCGGTTTAAGATTAAATGCTTAATAGCGCTGCATAACGAAAACGTCAAACTGCAAAATCGAACCGAAACCACTTTTTTTTAAAAAAAAAAAATAGTTGATTTGGATCCACATGGATCCATCAACTTTTTGGTTTTGAACCGAATCAAATCGCTTGGAAGGGGTTTGGTTTCGATTTGAATCTTTGTAAACCGTCTCAAACTGCCAATTGTTTACAAAAAAAAATTGAAAATAAATTAATTTACATTTTATTCAACCAATTAAAATTAAGCACATCCCAGTTAAAAACATACATTCATATTAGCATAGTCCAATTAAACTCAATACCCAAATAGATAATTGTTTATCCCATTAATTTGTACCCAAATACCCATTGGTTATCACAACTGTGAATGCAAAACTCTCAAATTGGGTGAAATGTTGAACAACTGTTGCTGAATCATATTTATCGATTATCCATTATAATTGAGTAAACAATTATATCTAAATTTTAATTCAAACTCACACATTTCTTTTCCTTTTACTAATAGTTTTATCAAATTTCAACTAAATTTCAAATCAGTTTATCCAATTTTCCTTATATTTTGGTAGTTGTTTGCTATTTTTCTTTTTAATACTTTTGTTGTTTTGTTCTAATTTGTGCCGTGCTCTCTTACATTTTTAGCGGACAACATTTTTTATTTATTAGCAACTCAATTTTCTGGTCAGATCACTCAATTAAATATTTATATTTTAACTTAATTTCTAGATTTTACTAATAATTGTTAGAATGATTTGGTGGATTATTTAAGTGGTCATTTTGAAGATTTGACCAACCAGTCTTTCGATATATTACTTTGATGAAAATTAATTACCAATAAATAAAAAGACTATCCCCCAGATTGCTAAAGATGTGTTATCTATTCAAATATTCGCAATTGTTTATGAGTCTGCACATTCTATTAGTGGTCGGATTTTTTATTCTTTTAAAAGTTTGTTGAATACAAATACGGTTTTACCCAGTCCAAATCAAAACCATTAGAACAAATCATAAGTGACCTGACGATACAAAAAGTGGGGTGTGGACCGTGTGGTGGTGATTGTGGGTTACCATGTTGTATTTGCCATTTCCCATAGAGACAAAATCTTCAAGAGGATCAGCATTTTTGGTTTGGCCAAAGAATGGAGTTGCCCTAACAACTGCGGTGGAACTAGCAGTGGCAACCATTGATGCCATTTCTTGTTCAAGTTTACAGCTGATCCTTCTCTGCAATATGCTGTTATGGAACTTTGGAGAAGTGGTATGTGTTTTAGAGGTGAAGGGTGAGTTTACGTTAAGAAAGAGAAAATCATGAATTGGTGGTTAAGATTTCATGAATAGAAATTCTAGTGGCAGATAATTTTCGGGGTACAAAAATCAACCAATCAGAAGGCTTCAAAAGATTATAAAAATCTCTCCTATCCATAATTTATCTCTTCCGCAAGAAGAAAAGATAATTTTTATTACAGAGAAGAAAATGAAAACTGAAAAGAAAAAAAATGCGGTGAGCGTGGATCGAACACGCGACCTTCAGATCTTCAGTCTGACGCTCTCCCAACTGAGCTATCCCCGCTTGCTTTCTTTGGGTCTTTTATGTTATAAATATATATATATCTTTTTCCAGTATTCTGTACAATTTCTATTCCATAGGTGACAATATTACACCATTTGTAATGTTTGTATTCGTAGTTAATTTCCACTGAAAAGATATGTTGGATTAGAAAGAAAAATGATTAGAAACACATTACTTTTATAGTCCAGTTATAAGAAGTGATTTTTTTTGGAACTTGACATGTTAGACACTTTCAAGTCATAATAATGCTACAAAAAAAATTGAGGTGGTGTAGATGAGAGTGGGATGACTCAATTTGGTTCAATTTGCTCGAAGACGTATCTAGCCCAGAACTATATACTTTAGGTCTTAGCAGAGAAGAATATTAGGTGACGTTTTGAGTTTTAACAACAAAATTCAATGAGTCCTCATCGTACGTCTTCTCATCTTGATCTCCATTCTGATTGACTTACTCAACTTCAACCATTATGTTGTTATGATTTGATGGCGAACTAGGGGCCTTTTTGGGCCGAATTAAAATTTGATTTTAATCTAAGTCAAAGTCAAACAATCAATATTAACCACATCTTTTATGGATTCCACATCATTTCAACCACACATTGTAAAAACTTCTATCACATTCCACTAAACGTCTAATTTTAATCCCCACCAAACACCTTCATATTAACATAGTTTCTGGAGTAACTTCTATCACATTCCACTAAAAATCTAATTTTAGTCCCCACCAAACACCCTCTAGTTCTCAGGGCAACATTGTAACCTAATTTTAATAGTTGAATTTCAAATTTCATGTTTGACTTTAATTTATGTATTCATAGTTTTCATTTTCTTTTTGTTAACGTTTCTTCTATCACGTCAATAGTTGAATATGTTAAAAATCGATTGGACAATGCGAGATAGTACACGCGTTATTCGCTTTTTTAGTGAAAGTCATAAATTTAAATATGTCGTAATTTATATATAAATATAGCGAGTTAGTATATAAATGTAGCTTTGTTTTTGTTTAAGAGAGATTGTCCAATAGTTTATAAAATTCGACTGTCTGCATTCATGATTGTGTATTCATGGTACTTATGGTAGTATTAGATGTTCTAACCCAAATTTCGTTGAATTTTCTCAAGTCAAGCTAGTTAGTTAAATTTATTGTGTATTTAGTATTTATTTAAAATTCACCACAAATCAATTATTCAGATAAAGTTAGGATTAATCGATTTTGATATTTGATATCAACAATTCTCATTAGAAAGATACATTTCATTTCATTACTTGTTTGACTCGTATACTTGCAGAATCACGTCATAATATGTTTCTTATCTTTATTGAGAACCAACTTGGAACAGGGCCTTGGTCAAGTTGCCTAAAATATGTGAAAATGTATCAACGCTTCAAGAAGTTGTAATTGTACTGGGGAAGGGCATCTGGTTGTCAAGAAAAAGAATTTAAGATTGAGCACGAAGCCACGAACTAGAGCTACCCCACAACTACGTGAAGAGTAGGTAATCAATTCAAGAACTGGCTAGGGGATAAAATGTTCACTGTAGACTTCTAGCTCCACTCTCGTTCGCGCTACCTCTTGCAGCAGCCACTCGGCTAAATCAATTGTCATGTCTATCCCTTACATATCAGACCTAAGCCATAGGGTAGCCAATGGTTAGAAATATTAAATTCGCCCGGGTCTAATATAGAATTACACCTATGACAAGATGCTTCGATAGTTAAGATGAGGTCAAGTGTCTCTTTATCCAACGATTATCATTTCGCCTCTCATATTAATAAATTACACACTTAGGCCATGTTTGATTTGACAATTTTTCCCTGGAACTTGGAAATGAAATTTCATCTTTCACCAAAAATCATATTTGATTGGGAAAATTTTCTTGGCAATTCATTTTCCATCTTTTGCTCACACGGTTCCAATTCCATGGTTTTGAGGAAAATCAATTCCCACCAATTTGGTGGGATTTAGTTTTCCAGTCAACCTTTTTTTTTTTTTTTTTGTAATGGAAACAAATTATATCCCTAATTATAACAAATTATATCAATTTAATAGACAATTTTAATGTAAAATAAAGTCAAACGAACACCAAAAGATCCAAAATTTCAATATTTTCCTCGTGAAAAATTATACTAATAAAACACAATTAATTTACAATTCATAGAAAAACAATTTTAGGCAATTCAATTCCGTATAATTCATTTTCTTTCCACCCAAATTCCACTATTACAATCAAACGGACATTTAGTGTCATTCGAATATAATATAATTTTACACACTTAACCTTGCATTGTTGTCTCTTATTTTACTCTTTATAAATAGGTTCTACTCGAATCCCCCGTTATTCGAACACTTTCGTGGTTCACATCTAATCACGTTTACACACCCAAATACATTTTCGTAAGTGATTAACTTGACCGTTGGAGTGAAAGTGGCTGTCTCCCTCACATCTGAAGGGAAAATACTTGTTGTACATCATTATTTACATAATCTTTTACATAATACTTGTTGTAATTTATTGGTCTTTGGAACTTTACAAGGAGTGAGATAATAAACTTCAATAAAATTGAGTGTGCCAGGCTAGTAGAACCCGGTCTAAGACTAACTGCTTAATAGGGCTGCACAACGAAAATGTCAAATTGCAAAATCGAACGGAAACCGCTTTTTCAATCGTTTACAAAAAAAATTGAAAATAAATTAATTTAAATTTTATTCAACCAATTAAAATTAAGCACATCCTAGTTAAAAATATACATTCATATTAGCATAGTTCAATTAAACTCAATACCCAAATAGATAATTGTCTATCCCATTAATTTGTACCCAAGTACCCATTGGTTATCACAATTGTGAATGCAAAACTCTCAAACTGGGTGAAATGTTGAACAACTGTTGCTGAATCATATTTATCGATTATCCATTATAATTGAGTAAACAATTATATCTAAATTATAATTCAAACTCACACATTTCTTTTCCTTTTACTAATAGTTTCTTGAATTTCGACTAAATTTTCAAATCAGTTTATCCAATTTTTTTTATATTTTGGTAGTTGTTTCCTATTTTTTTTTAATACTTTCGTTGTTTTGTTCTAATTTGTGCCGTGCTCTCTTACATTTTTAGCGGACAACATTTTTTATTTATTAGCAACTCAATATTCTGGTTAGATCACTCAATTAAATATTTATATTTTAACTTAATTTCTAGATTTTACTAATAATTGTTAGAATGATTTGGTGGATTATTTAAGTGGTCGTTTTGAAGATTTGACCAATCAGTCTTTCAATATATTACTTCGATGAAAATTGATTACAAATAAATAAAAAGACTATCCCCCAGATTGCTAAAGATGTGTTACCTATTCAAATATTCGCAATTGTTTACGAGTCTGCACATTCTATTAGTGGTTGGATTTTTTATTTTTTTTAAAGTTTGTTGAATACAAATACGGTTGAGGCGATGATTTATTTCGTCTGGATGAAGTAGAAACATTGAATGATTCACAAAATATTATAGAAGGTATTATCATATTTAATCTTTCTATTATTTTCTTTTATTAGTTATTTAATATCATTAAACTATAGTCAATGAATTCATGTACTATATTTTTATACTTATGGAGAGAATGAATCATGTGTTATAATTACAAATGTTGCGTCAGTAATATCGAGTAACGGGTTTAAATGTTTTTATAATATTGTTGCATTATAATGATTAGAATTATAGAACTTTGATTTGTAATATTTTTAATAATACAATTTATGTTTTAGCGTGAAATTTTATACTAATATTTATGATTTAACTATTCGATATATGTTATTTTTTTTCTTTGTTAAACCGTAATATTATATTGAACCAAACCGAAAAAAGTGGATTGGATTGGTTTGGTTTGGAAAAATTCAAAACTGTTTTAAGTGGTTTGGTTTGAAAATTTGTTGCAAACGTTTCAAATCGAACCGCGTTCACCAGTACTTGGATCAAACTTTAAATTTAGCCATGCTAGCCCACATACATTAGAACTCGACCATTCCGTGATTTTATTTTATTTTTTGGGGAAAAATTTAGTTTTGATTTTTTTACTTATTTGAAATTGCAGTAGGAAGATTCATATATTTTTTACTGCACGATTTTATCCTATGTAAATTTTATCATGAGAAATCAGACTTTAGTAGTAGTAGTAAGAATTTATATTGTTGTCTCTTCCTTATCCCTAATTACTAGACCTCCGTTTCCGTTAAATGATATAGAAATTCATTCATCCTCACATTCTTCTATTGACTTTAAATCCAGAATTCAATCATATCGACGTTAAATGATATAGAAATTCATTCATCGTCACATTCACCTATTGACTTTAATCCAAAATTCAATCATATCGACCTAGTTGATATGCTGAGATTGTTCGTGGCATCGAAAACTTTAAAAATATATCACGGTAAAAGATTTAGTCCCTATTTGATACCGTTAAAAAAATTGATTAAAACTATAATTAAAATCAACAATTAATTTTAACTACGGATTTCATAAGATTCAATACTTTTGAACCACACATTCCATTAATTTTTCTCAAAATTTATTAAAAAAAATTATTTTAATCTCTACCAGAAAAAGAATCAGTATAAATGGTTTGAGATGATAAGGTAAAAAAAGTTCACTCATTTAAGACAAAGCCAATCATTCACGGATTCTACAGTGAGAAAAAGGAAAAAGTTACATAGTGATTCCTCAATCATTGCTATCAGTAACG